CGATGGAATGCTGCAAGACACCCAAACCTCTTCTCCACAGTGCTGCCTTTGTGCCGCTTCGCGCTTGAAGGATGCCTAGTAATCTGTTCTCCCTTTCTCTCGAGATTTACTTTCGTTATACTTGGCGCATTGGAATGCGTGCGCGGGTGACCGACAACGGGACATGTTATTGAGCTATCAGATGCCTGATATAGATATATAGACGAGGCATCTGCATCGTCACATTCAGCGACAAGTGTCGAGTCAGAACTCCTCCTGCGTGAATCCATTGAACCGGATCGAAGACCAGATGAGCCTGGGAGATTTGGAGTCACGGAAAAGGAGCCAAAAGGTCTGTCATTGGTCTCGAAGTGGACTCTACCATGAGAAGAGTTGGGATCAGCTAACGAGGGCAAGTCCAGAGGGTCAATCAATGTAGATGAATCAACCGAGTGTAAAGGGCCGGAAGGTTTACCGTCATTGTTCTTGTTGTGGAATATGGAGACTAGGTGATCAGTTGATGTGATGCGGCGTAGGGGGTTGAAATTCAATAAGGAATCAGGAGTGTGTACAGGCCTGGAATCCGAAGAAATTCGGGGTCTGAGATCATGCGAGAATGTGGGGCCAGATAGATCTTGCATGCCGCTGGTAAAAAGTAGGGGATGAAGACATTGAGCGAATTGCTGCATCCATAAGTAGTACACAGGCGTTTTGTTGGCTGTGCTGGACCCGATTAGGTTGTGTTCCGGTTTTTAAAACCTCACAACGGATTATATATAATAACTGGCAATACAGTAAGTGAAACTATAACCTCAGATCAGCGTTAAGTTAACTGAGGTGGACACCTGACGACACAGTCATTGAAACTGTAACCTCAGATCGACGTTAAGTTAACTGAGGTGGACTTTACCTGACAACACAGTAAGTGAAACTATAACCTCAAATCAACGTTAAGTTGACTAGGTGGACAGTGCCCGACAACACAGCAAGCGATATTATAACTGTGCCATATGTCAGTGTGCTAGCCAATGTTACCAATGTAAGGGTTGATGTAGGATGACGAATGTTAGGGGGAAAGGAGAGGAGTAGGAGGTGCGAAGGAAAGAGACAAAAGCGGGACAATGGACGCGGAGAAAAAGGAAGGAAGAAGAGGTCGAGAGGTGGCGTACTGATGCGACTCACTGAGAGAGCGTCAAGCGGAAAATCAAGACTCTTCATTCTTTTCACGTCAGTGTGGATATCGCAACCTCAGCGCAAGTGCATCGGCCAGAATTACAGGACACTTGACCAGAAACTGGCGAACGAATGAAGTCAAATGAGCAGTAATTGGTTACCTCTGGTCAGGCTGGCAACTTGAAGGTCCAGTAAGTTCGTCGTCATCATTTGCTTCCGACGAGATCAAAACCCTAACCATAAACCAGGTGCATCTTTTTATCTTTCCAACATGTCTTCTGGAAACCCAATAACGCCCATCTCCTCTCTCCCCACATTTGTTTCGCCTGAACAACATGCGAATATCATTTCCTCAACCCCATCGTCGTTCGCAGACATTCCTCCGGTCCTCAAACACTCCCAACCCAACGTCCGCGTCACCCTCGATCCTCCTGTCCCAGGCTTCGACGCAACCTCAACGACAGATGGTACTCTATATGTTCTCACAAGGTTCCTTCCTTCCTTCTTTTTTTTCTTTTGTCGACTGACTCAAATAAAATAAAGTGTCCTTGTATACTTCACCTCAGCTGGGCAAGGTTTCCAAATCCCCTACCCGTCGATAACGCTTCATGCCATCTCCCGCACCGGTTCTTCTCCTTCTATTTACTGCCAACTCGATGCAGGTCCCGCACCAGATGCAGACGCCGAAGATGAGGACGCAGACACGCTTCTCCAAGAGCTTTCCATAATCCCTCAAGATCCTGCTTCTCGTACATCTCCATATTTATTTTCTAGATCATCAACTCACAACATGAATAGTCGAACAAATATTTGAAGCCCTCTCGACCTGTGCCGCTCTGCACCCGGACCCAGACGCCGATCTCGACGACGACGACGACGCAACCATCGATCGCGATCCGCTCTCGACGCCCTTCGACACCTTCAACGGTTCACCAGATGAAGAGCTAAGCGAAGTAGGCCGGGTGCGCAGCGATTTCTCAAATGATTCTCGGTATCATCCCTACTAGACGCTCTTTTTCTTTTTTTTCTTTTCCATGTTCCGTTCTCGAAAATTCCCGGTTTCGTTCTTGGCTTTAACTTCGATCGCGATTGACTTGATTGATGCCCGTCGACGCGTAGGCTGCACTCGCACACATGGAGTCGATAATTTACGATCCGTACGATCATAAGGATGAAGATGAAGATGCATATGAAGGAGAGGATGGAGAAGGGGAGGAGTTGCCGCCCGATTCCGAGGACGATGATGAAAACGATGCCTTGGAAGACGCAGATGAAGACGATAGTTTGAAGGGGGAGAAGGGGGGAAAGGAAACGGTCCAAGCAGTCACTGAAAAAGTTCAACCGCCTAAGGCAACTTGAATCCAAAAATGCGCAATGTATATGACGTTCCCTCATATATCACGCACTACGCATCCTGAATCCAATTACATCCGCTTATCTTCCATCAAAAATATCTTTTTCAGTTAGACATCCAAAATCCCATTATCAACCCAACCTAAGGCTTCCGAAAACATTCGGTCCCATCAAACGTCGTGATCACTCGCACCCAATCAAACAATCGCTGAAAACATTTGTTCTCGTTTCTCGGAAGGACTGCTGACCACCGCTGCACCCCCTATCCATTTGTTCAAATCCCTTTCATGTTCAGTTTGTCCGCAGAAACACGTTCAGACTCATCTTTCAGTGACTCTAAATACCAGTCTCACTAATGTCACAGAGTTCTTTCTGCATCAATACTCAATGAGCCAATTCCATCGAAAATCCACCCAACCGACGATTAGCCCTAGATCTCCTGAGAATCCATCCTTAGACTGGGGCTAGATGGCGTTCAAATCAACACTGATGTGCTTTGCGAGTATAGGTCCTATATGTATTATTATCCCATCTCGCGTCCTGCTCCTATCCCCGGTTCTGATAAACTGCGCTCAGACTACGAGTGTTACCTCTCGCCTGTCTTCGTCCAGGTCCTCAACCACAAAACTTGCGAGAACTCATTACAGCCTCACTTGATGGCTTTCAAGGAGCTGCTGTGGCGGCCAGTGCGGATTCAAAACAAAAAAAAAATGACTGCACATATTTACCTAAATGGGGGCACCGCGGATTGAACGCGGGACCTTCAGAATAGAAGAGTCGATCCTTCGAACTATAACTTCAGTCTGCTGCTCTCCCAACTGAGCTATGCCCCCATATTTCAATGGAACAAAGAATTAGTGATAAACCTTTTAGGGCTGCCATCATATACAACGTTCACTCTTGAGCCACACTTATGGCCTTGATGAATCTGTGGTCCCAAAGATAGAAGCTTGCGAATGTGCGGACTGGGACGAGATTCCATACTTTTTCGACACTTGAACAAGGTTAAAACTGTATGTGTGGGTTTCAGACAGCCTGGGCTTTTGGATAACTGTTATCCGGCAGATCGCAGTGGAGAGGTTCAATTTGATCTTTGACCAGGGAGAAACTCAATCTGGACAGGTTCGATGTAGACTATGTGTAACACGGTATTTATCTGAAGGACAAAAACGCGCGCGGTGCGTCATTTGAAAACTGATGTTTTTTCCAACGTACGATTGCTGGGTTTGTCAATGATTGTTGTGTTGAAGTTAGAAGAGGGCGTTCCGATGTGATTCGCCTCGAGGCAATTGAGAGGCAAGTCCTACCTGCAAGAAAGTCTTTGGCCTAGTTTGCTTAAAGCCAGTTCTACATAATTACCGGCCTCTGTTTCATTGGACTTGTACTCATTAAATTTGACGAGGATAGGATGCTTGGTAGCCTTGTGGACTCGGAGGAG